TGTGGCAAGAAATATGCACTAAACAAGGAGATGAGAGGAGAGAGAAAAGGGTACTTACTAGTAATGTATTTGAAAATGGCTCCCTTTGGCAAAACTGGTGAGAGAGAAATGGAGCTGATTGGACATTTATAGAGAGAAGAAGGGAAGGGGTTTTATTGGGAAACTTTGTTATCAAATTTGTTTAATAAGTTTTAGAGCTAATTAATTACCCAACATTACCTCAAAACTTCCCCAACATTTCCCACTAAATATTGTTTTTTATAGCCTTCCTACTCAAATTACCAAATTGGACCTCATTCCTTACATTAATACCTTATATTAATACCTAATCTTCTCGATTATAATTTAACAATTATTAAAACTAAATCTATGCCATTTTTAATTTTCTTCCCACCCTATTTCATATATTAAATATATTATTTAATATATTTTATGTCTAATAGAATCTTAAACTTATAATCTTAAAAATTTAGTTTTTAGATACGAAATCATTAAATATAAATTTAATATATTTTATGTCTAATAGAATCTTAAACTTATAATCTTAAAAATTATTTCGTATACATTAGCATGGGTGGAAAATAAAGTGGTATCTTCCAAACCTTTGACATTTAAGTGGTTTTAAGTTATAAGTCAGCCAGCCACCTTGCAATTATTGAATTTTAAAAAAATGGAATGAAATAAGGTGACAGAGAAGAAATATGTTTGAGACAGTGAGGAGAATTGGATAAAACTACATTAATTAATTTGTTCTGTATCACTTTACTACAGACAGACACACAGACACGACAGCGTACAGATTGTGGAATGAACAACAGTAAAACAAGATTGGTGAAAAACAGATTACAAAATGCCAATGAATTAACAAATCAAAGCCCTTTGGCGCACCCATTTGTTGCTCTAGGTGCAGAATTGACAGCCAATATCCAACTTCTTTCGCTCTCTACAAAAAGAATCTACACACATACAAAATTCTTAGTCGTTTTCGACACCCGTGCTTGCGTTGTCGTGATGAAACTTCACCACAATGCATGTTATATTGTCAGCGCTACCACGGGTAAACGCTGCTTCGGTTAGTTTCCGAGCAGCTGCCTCAGGTCCCTCTTCTTTCCCCGCAACTAGTACTGCATCCTGAATCCAGAATTTAAGTTCGTATGTGGAGTTCACAATTTAGAGCATCTTAGATACATGGGGTAATGATGTAGTGAGCATACCTCGTTGCGTACCACGTCCCAAAGTCCATCGCTTGCGAGAACAAGCAGCTCGATGTCCTTGTCTACTTCAAGATCCTGGCAAGTATGGTGGGCAGTTTTTGTGAACCATGAAAAGCTTTACCAACAGTAAACAAACTAAACTCAAGATAATATTCAGAAAGAATCTGGTCTTGCTCCATGTATAACATAACATCTAAAACGATAAATTTTCCAGCAAGATTGTAGAATAGTTTAATATAGTGTTAGTATTATTATTGAGTTCAGAGATCCGAACTCCTAACCTCTTGATTGAGGGTATACATTTAAACTAGTTACCTATGCTCAAACTAGCAACATTCTTGAACGCTATAAGCTATAATCATACATTTCATTCATCAAAGCTTTCTTCTTCCGAACTCCTAACCTCTTTCATTCATCAATCATACAATGTCAAAGTGAACTAAACGGGTTATTTGGGCTCCCCTGCAAAGAGTGAACTTAAGTTTTAGAACTAAAATGGTGGGCTAAATGATGGGGTGGAAAAGATACCTGAATATCAGGATCCGCCACAACAAACTGCTTCAACATCTTGTTACCGAAAGCACGGGACATCGCTAACACTCCTCCTACCCTCCAAGTGCCTGACAGCAACAGACAATGCGATGTGATTAAGATACAGATTATCACAATGACATTGTATGATTGATAAACTTCAAATACAGGACCAAAAGATGGCCAGAAGAAACTAATCTCTGAGAAGCTAAATTTTCTATCTAGTAGATACCTATCAAGGAAATACATTCCAACTTCCCTGAAATCATTTTACTTCCATAATTGTTATTATGAACAGGACCTTTGGTTTTTCGTTTAGGATGTATATTTCAGCCTTTTGGTACTCGAGCTTTCCGTTAGCACGTGATTCATATTTATTAGACAACGTAAAGCGATGGTGGAACTTTGAGTCCCTAATTTATCTATTTCAAGTTAGCACTGGTCAATGTCAATACCCAAGTTCACCAACAGGGATAGCAGTTCTTAACATCATTAGCAAAAGCATTATTGAAATCTTACCAGCCCACATGACAACACCCCCGGCATTTTCAATTCGCCTCCGCTCGTCAGTTCTGTTTGGTTTATGGTCCTCAGAAAGAGGGATGGCTGCCCAGAAGAATGCAATTACTTTCAAGTTTCGCTCGTAGTTAAATATCATTACGATTTGTTCAACTTTAATCATTTTTAGAATAAACTTTCATGCCCAAGAGTCTTGACTTTCTACCTAACGTTACGAAAAAGTAAACAAATAATACCGTCACGTGGTGTTTTTGTGTGAAAAACAAAAGTGAACTACCTTCACCGCCCTTCGATATAATAGTACGCGAATCTCCAACATTGGCAACATAGAGATGATTGCCAACTAACAAAGCTGTTGAAGCAGTAGAGCCATCGTCCCTTAAAGTATCCTTTTCGGAATTTAAAAATTCAGCATCCGTCTGTCGATACGTTTCTCCTGGGAAGTGATAGAAGAAACTTTCGATGTGAGTTCAAAATTACTAGGACTCAAATACAAAACAGTGTAATGTAAACAAAGAATATGAAACTTAAAATCCAGTACTATTACAATTGTATACAGCTCAAAAACAGTCATCTTATAAACCTAATGAGTTTATCTTCATAAACAAACCAGTGAGGCATAGGGGAAAGGAAACACACTGATAGCTAATTTGGTATCTATCAAGAATTTTGGGTGCTTTATCAGATTCTCGAAGAGATGGTCCTTCAAAAACTCTGCAGCACGGTATCCACCATGACCTGCAACCACATGTAAAGAAGTAACTACTCCATGATGGCTTCTATAACTTGAATGATTAGCATCAACTATGCATTAAAAGAAAATAATCTCTGATAATGATTGAATTCAAGCGTCAAAATTAAATGAAAAATGTATGGCTTGGTATATAAAGTTTAAACCAAGGAACTTCAAAGTTTTTGATCTTCAGTCACTAAGTGAAACCTAACACCTTAATCACAACATCATATCGCCTATAAATTGGAATGGTTAAATTTACAGATAACCCAACACCTACATCACGCCACTGCAAAAATGGTGGGAGAGGCTAACCATCAAAGATGCCAAAAAGGCAGACTATTTGACCATCAACCTTTGACATTTTAATATCAAAGAAATCTTCCATGGTCGCCCTCTTTCCTCGGAGACTCGAATACCCCCAACTAAGTTTCCCATCTTCACTGCATAGCAAACCAAGGGATCACAAGTTTAGTGCATATCTCATTGGAATCAGTCGTTTGATAGACAAGGCGCAATTACGAGATCAAAGCATTGTGTTCTTTTCATTTTCATAAGAACATAATAACAACTAAGCAACAGCTTTAAATAAATAGAAGCAAGTTTTATTCAAGCAAATCCATTGAGACCTTTTCCACCCTCCACTGGCATAACCACCATCTTCATCTTTCTCCGGATGCTTATCAACAACCGGCGCACGATTTTCCGATGCACCCGTATCGACCATCATGAGACTCCTTCACGATTCGAAGTGTGAACAAATCCAAGATTGGAAGGCAAACTCCTCCAGATATCGTTGATTTAGACACTTGTGTTGATTATTCCAACATATCCAGCCTGAGCAATCCCAGTCCTTATATTATGGCTGCATACCATCGAGGCCAACAGCTGCATAATCACATCATTACAGTAATCAAAAGATGCTAACCTGATCCTGAACAGATTCAAAAGCAGTAACAAAGAACAGAAGCAGCAAAACTAAATCCTCGCATCAAAAAGCATTGAACATTCAAAACTTCGATTTCAGAAAAGATCTGAACAGGGGCGAAATTTGAACAAAAACAAAACAGCACTTTCGCTCTGATAGTCTCCAATCAAACGCTAAGGTAACATAAAACTTTCAACACCGACATGATTGAGGCAAGCAACACTTCCCGAAAACTAAGGCTAAGCTCGAAAGAACGAAATGGGTCGGGCAAAGGATCAAATCTGTTGTATTCATCCACCACCCTTTAATTTACAGAAGCTATTTGGATGGGCAAACATACAAAAAAAAAAAAAAAAATCCAGAAAAATGGGGGGAGGGGGTTGTAATGCAAATAATCGTGAGTGTTGAACAAAATGGAAAGAGATTGTGTGAGGGAAGAATGGGAATTTGGGGGGGGTGGGGGGGAAATCAGAAATGTTTGAGGTGGGATGAAATGGGATGATGAGCGTAAAAATGATGATCCCATCTGGGCATTTTGGAAAGAAAAACAGGGGATGGGATGAATATACTTACTCGGTGGAACATGGAAGAATCGGGCAGAACAAAGTGGTAGAGGGATAGAAAAAGGGGATAATCAAGAGAGAGAAGAGAGAAAAATATGGGGGAAGAGAGAGATAGTGGTGGGCTTTCGAAGCTTTGGCACCGAAGAGAAGAAGGCAGGTGGCAACATGGCGCCTACCTTGCGTCCACTGAATACTAATAATAATAAAGCTTTCCTTTTTTTAACTAATATTTTCATGGATTTCTCACCCTTTTTCTTTTTCTTTCTTTAAATCTAAATTAATATTTTATCTCTCATTATTCTACATTTTGTTTATGAGTTTGGGTGATAAATAGACATGAGCTTAAGTTTATTGACCTCGCTTAATCTTATCTATAATTCCATTCTACCAAAATCTTTTTTTTTTTTTTAAACTATAATACCCTTAATTGTTGATCACAACATTTTAAGCGGAAGAATTTATTTTGGAAGCTCTTTAGGATCAGGACGCGGGAAGCTTGTCGTCCACCATCCAAAAATCGACGCATTATTGGCGATAGGCTCTTTAATGTCGTCTCCGTCGTTCACAAATCCTTAAAAGATGCAGAGTCCAACCCCTCCAAACCCACCTTGTTCGACCTCCGGCGCGGGAACCAACTGCGCCCAATTTCTCCATTCCGATCATCCCAGAGCCACACTGTGGTTGACTTGGGACGACCCCTCATTCTTGAGAAGAAAGTTTTACCAGTCATAATGGCAGTCTGGAATTATATACAGACCAACATTTATCATTCATAATGTTTGGATGATGAAGTACCATATATTTGTCCCTTTTCTGCGACAATCGTGGAATGGGTCCCGTTTGGCTGGTCGTCCAACGAGGTAAACGCCTTCGATTACAGAAGAAGCATATAATTTCTCTGAGTCCGTGTTTGTACAAATGGGCGGCATTCATTATGTACAACCAACCCTGGGGGATTGCTTTAATGGCGGACGAAGGCATGGCTTGGGTACTGGAGGATGGTGTTATAAGGATATTCATCCTGTTTTCAGCAAGAAAGAGCTCGTATCGCTATGGATGGAGAAAATGGTGCCATAGGGTTAGTTCTTTTGTTCTTAACGTGAACTCTTAGCATCGCAACTATGCCTGGAATGTTGTTTGATTATTACATTTGGAGGAGCCTTTGTATCTCATGAATATGTTCGACTTCCTCTCATTCTTTTGAGTTGTCAGTTTGTTCACTGCCTTTGGAGTTTCTGATGTAGCCGTTGGGGTTTATTGGGTGTTGGGACGAGGTTCTCTTGGTTTCTCCTTTAGGAAAAAAGACAAAGTTTAGTTTCTTTATGATTTGTGCTTCCCTACGTGTATTTTTAGTGGGTGACTACACTTTGGAGCCTCACTTCTTTGTTCGACATTTGAGAAATTTTTTGACATAGCTAAGTTAATGGCATGTCTCTGATATTAGGTTAGAAACCACGAATCCTCACAATGGTATGATATTGTCCACTTTGAGCATAAACTCTAGTAGTTTTCTCTTCGTACCCATAGAGATATATTCCTTACTTATAAACTCATGATCACTCTCCCACTATTTTAGGGAATTTATTGGGCCATTTCAGTGAAAATGATAGCTACTCATTTATATATGTTTTGTTCATATGCTTCTTAGGCATGTCATTGATTTATATGCTGATTTAAGTTGTGATTTGTTTAGGACTCAGTCTTGCTCTGGCGAACACGTGGCTGAGAGACCTTCTGGAAAGATTAATTGTTTAAAAAAAGAGATGAGTAAAGGGTTGAGGTTTATAAAAAAGTGTATTGGAGAGCTTCATGTGTGGAATGAAGTAGTTGTGATATTGTGTGTAGCTGCGATCTTACTGGACCCTTTGTTCTGTTACATCTTAGTAGTTGATGAAAAGAAAAACTGTATTGAGTTTGACCAGAATTTGCGGATCACGGCTATAGTTTTGCGTTCGCTCATTGATTTTGGCTACATTTTGATCATTGCCTTTCATTTTCGCATGGGTTATACTGGGCCCTATGATGCAAAAAAGGAAACGCTTTACAAAATAGGCAGGAGATATCTTTTATCCTACTTTACTGTTGACATTCTTGCCGTCCTTCCTCTCCCACAGGTTTGGACTATTAACCTCTGCCCAAGTAATGAATTTGGAACATTGATGTTCTGTAACATGTGAGGAATCACTTGTGCAGGTGGTGAATCTATTAGTCATTCCAGCAGCAAAAGGCTCTCATTTTAGCATGGCTCTGAGGTCATTGCAATTTGTTCTTATAATTCAACATTTGCCAAGGGCGTTACGGATATACAAATTCTTAAAGAAAGTTAGATTGAGTTCTAGCCTTTTTCCCAATTCTACTGGGGGCAATGCTATGTTCAATCTCTTCCTGTATATGCTTTCAAGTCATGTAAGTTCATCAAGTCGTTAAGGATTCATCTCATCATCTGTTGTATTGAGTTCAAAATGAGAGGGTTATTGACATTATACAAAATATGGTCTCAGTCGTCAGAACTTGTGTACTCTTTCATTGCCTTTGCCTTTATCTTAGCATTAACTCTGTATGTATCTGATCCTTCCAGGCCTTTGGAGCCTTTTGGTACCTGTTTGCTATTGAGCGTAAAGCAAGTTGCCTGCAGAAAAGGTGTGGCGCTGATCCATATTGCCCTCGGATGCATAACCTCAGCTCTGTTGAGAGGTCATGCATAAAAGATTGCTCTGCAAATGCATCATCAAATGACAAAACAGCTTTCAATTTTGGAATATTTGATGATGCCTTAACTTCTGGCGTTGTCTATTCAACTGATTTGATATGTAAGCTCTGTTACTGTTGCTGGTGGGGTCTGCAGAATCTAAGGTCTGTATTCCAGAAACCCCACGTATTCTGCATTACTGTGTTACTTCTCTACCCATAATCTACGTTTACATCTAACTTTTTTCAGTTCTTTGGGACAAGGCCTCAAAACTAGTCAGCATATATGGGAAATTTTCTTTGCAGTCTCCATAACCATTGCTGGGTTGGTATTATTTGCACTTTTAATAGGGAATTTACAGGTGAGTGTTAATTAAGATTCATGTATGCTTCATGATCTAGAAATAATTGATAACGTGCCAATTTGGTTGGAAACACAGACATTTCTGCAGGCAAATATTGCGAGACTGGAGGAATTGAGATTGAAGGTGGAAGATATTGAACTGTGGACGCCCTTCCATTTTCTCCCGCGTAAACTAAGGAAGCAAATCAAAAAATGTGAGATGCGTAAATTGCGGCAAACTAGAAGTGATGATGTTGCCAACATTCTCCGTAATCTTCCTACTGATCTCAGAAGTAGCACAGTAAAACATCTTTGCTCACCTGCATTCAACAATGTAAGTTTCCTGCTCTCCTTTATGTTTCCATTCATGGTGTTGTGTTTCACTTCATGGTCTTCTTCTTCTAATGTATCGTGAAGGTTTCGATGTTTCAAATACTGAACGGTCAACAGTTGAACGAGAAACTCATTGATGCAGTCTGTGGTTATCTGAAGCCAGTGGAATACACTGAGCGTAACATCATCGTTGAAAAAGGAAAGCCGCTAGACAAGATGATCTTCGTAATCCACGGCAAATTATGGATGTATTCCAACGACAACAGGGAAGATGGGACAATAGGGTCGTCTGAGAGCCTTACAAAAGATAATTACTTCGGAGAAGATCTTTTGAATTGGGGACTGAAAGATCCACTCTTATCCACTGTCCCCTTATCCCCAAAAACTGTCTCTGCGCACACCAAAGTGGAAGCATTTGTTTTGAGCGCAAATGATTTGAAGATTTTCATCTCCAAATTCTGGTGGCTCATCAGTTCAGAGCTTAGCAATCATCCCAAATTTAAAGAGCAATGCAAGAAATGGGCTGTTCCTCTCATTTGTGCTGCGTGGTATCGTTACAAAAAGAATAAGCAGCGAAGATCTAAGATTGAAAGTGGGAGTTCGCAGCCTTCAGGCACCACCGGAATTGCTCATGCCAAAAGATTCATTCGTAGTGCATGGCATGCTCTATATCAAAGACGAAGAAGAATAAGTGGGAGCAATGATAGGCCTGGACATAGTAACAACACCAATGGGTTGCCATAAGGTACCAACGCCTAATGGAAACTCTTTCTATTTAGTATATCAGCACATTCGAAACATGGACATAATTTTGCTGTGTGTTAGTAGTACTATTTAAACACTTTTAAAATCATTGCGTTAGTGTATCAATAGTTATATCATAATTTAGTATATATAAGCACTTTCTAGGTAGTCTTAATAAACTTTGCTCTGAACTGAAGGCCGTTGGGTTGTGGTCGCCCTGATTAACCAGAAACATAAGAAACGCACTCACCCGGCCACATTGGGTTGTTGAAATAAAGTTTGTTGCTGCCTTTATCTATAAAAGAAATGGTAAGCAACGTTGTCTAAAGTAGAACCAGCAGCTTCAGAAGGAGAGTAGAGAAAGGGTAAGTTAAGTAGCAGAGTGAGACTGAAATTCTGAAAACCAGCCAGAAACAACAGTTGAAATGGCATTGAGGGTCTGAAGTCAGACTGAAATTCCACTTTCTTTGAGTTTCAGCAGCATCATAAAGTATTGTTTAGAAGTGAGTTGTTGAACAAGCAATGGAAGATGGAAAACAGAGTTGGCAAACCACAAAGGGGACAAAACAAGGAAACGTGTATTTTCCTGAAGTGAAAGACGGCCAAATCCAAATATATGCTTCCACGTTTAAGTTTAGCTCTAAAAAAAGTTTTATTTTCCTGAAAATCTGCAGGGTTAGGAAATGACACCAGAATTGGAGCTTCCTGTTCTTCTTCTCATCAATGTTTTCAAAACCCCATTTCAGAAACATACCTACACAACACCAAGAGAGAGAGCTCCGGATAAGAGAAATCAGAGAGCTCCGAAGTGGGGATTGAATGAACACAAAACAATGGTTTACTTTAATCTGCAACCTCTGCCACCCACAAAATCAAACTGCTTGAGAACCACCAATTCTACTCGCTTCTCTTTAACCTCATTCTATTTGGAGTCGACTCTTAATCTTGCCCACTAATCAAGCTTAGCATTTTAATCATCCCAAGTCTGTTCACGATCTTTCTAGTTTTCATCTTACCAAAACTTCCTTCATATAACTTATCTTATTTTGTATTACTTACACATCTTATTAGAAAAGCTAAATTATGTTTAATTACATTTATAATATTCAATTTTTAATTTAGCAAGTTAACTACCTAATTGGTCTATGAACTAAATTTTGATTTAGAAATAATTCTCAATTATTGTAAAGTCCCCACATCTTTTCATTAATTGTTATCCACATTTCATTTGGTTATTCTTTGCATTTTAAGTCATAAAATGTTAGGTAGAAACAGGACTCATTCAAAAGGGGATTCCATTTGTACCATTTTCTACCAACAATTGATATCCTAACCCTACATGTACAAATTTCAACAAAGTTATGTATTTTTGTCTACTCGAACTAATTAAAGTGTGTAGATACATGCTTTAAAGACAAGTGCTATATGACATAAACAAGATAATTAATTTATTGTATTTCATTTGTAGAGCTTTCAAACGTTCTTCTATTTTTCAAATGTAGTCTCTGAGTCATTTGTGTAACTTTCTTTTACTCGGTCGTCACAATATTAATGGGTCATAATGAAAGGTCTACCAAACCAATAGAAAAGTAAGAAATTGAATTGAATAGACATTAAAAAAAGGGATTAGATACTAATTTGGTGATGGAGATTCCCTTTTGAGACCGACTGCTCTACAAGATTAGCAATGAAACACCGGTAGTAATATGATTCGATAGAAATTAAAAGCCATGGGATGAGAAAAACATAGTCTTACACAGATTTCCAAACAAACGAAAGGCACAGCCACAAGATGTAAGATATCAATATACATTCATTGAAGAACCAGTTATAAAAAAACACATGAATTAGATGTTATATTATCGCTGCAGTTTCTTGATTCAACGGCCATTTTAAGCATATCAGTGTCACACAATTACCTCTATCCACAGTCAAAATGAATCCACGGTGAGCTTGCGGTAAAGTTGAGTCGAAAAAGTCTACACAAAACCGTCGGATTCTTGGTAATGCTATGGAAGCGAAGTTGAAAGAAACATGTTGCATCATGGAGAGGAAGAACTGTTTGTTTTCCTCAAATCTACTACTATTACACTGATGTTGTCTTTGCTTCCACGAGCCACTGCAAGCTCCACCAACACTGTTGCAGCTTCAGCGACATGGCTGTCATTCGCCACCTTTAATGAAATCCTCTTCATTTTGCCTCCAAAACATCTCCTTACTATGTTGCAGGCAATTTCGTTCGAAATCACGTCCCACAGACCATCACTTCCTAATATGAGGAACTCATCCTTTTCGGTTAGCTTGGTCACAGTCACTTCTGGTTTGGAGATTACAAATGGTTTAAGATATTCATCACCTGCAATGCAAAAGAACTCAGAAGATAATTTGGAAACCTATATTTGCAGAGAGATTTTCATAAGCACAATGACATCCAGTAGCCTATAACAGGAAATAATTGATTGTAAGGGGTCATGTTTCTATGTCTCTTTTGGCTTAGGTATGAAAATTAGATAATGTTCATCACACAGAATGAGCTAGATAAGGAGAATTCTCTCACATTTGATATAACAGTTTCGAATTAAAGTGTTGAAGTTCATGTCTCATGAAGGGAATTGAATCAAAATGAAATTATAGGTCTGTAGTCAAATTTTGCAGAATGTATATTGGGTTTTGAACATACCGATGGATCTTGAAGTGGCAAGAACTCCTAGCACGCGGTAGCCATTCCAGTTTATGACCCTCCCACCAGCAGATTCAATTCTCTTCAACTCATCAGCTCTGCCAGGCTACTCGTAATTTGGATTCATATAAGCTAAAAGTTGTACAACATTATTCAAAACAGTCGTAAAGCTAATCGTGAATTTCATACCCAAATATTGCAGGCATCCCTAAACTACAATGGTGAATTTCAGCATTCTCCAACGGGCAGAATAAGAACAAAAAAAAAAAAAAACAGAGAAAGGGCATCATCGAATCATACCCAAATATTCTAAGAATAACCATCACAACCAAGTGCTGAATCGATGCATTTTAAACCACTTTTTAAATTGCAATCGCATTGTTCTTTCAGTTCGGAATTGATTCATTATCTACACGAGTTTCAACTGTAGAGTCCAGTTAATTTAAGAGTCAAAAAGTCTGCTACAAAATGGGTGTGATCCATGATGGAATCGTTTATTTAAATCCAAGTAGTTCCTTGACTTGTATGGTTTTCAATTCCCTTAACGACGTCCTTAGAATGAGTCTAATTGAGTAATTTGAACAGAGCCGGTGTTGAGATTGTGCACCTTATGATCGTTAGACAAGGGCAAGGCAATTCCATCCCTACCCAAAACGGCTCGACAATCGCCGCAGTTGGCCACCACCACCTCCTCCTTTCCGATCACCGCGGAAACCACTGCCGAGCCGACCGTCTTCATCACAGCAGCACCGCTACTCACTTCGCCGTCCATTCTCTCAAAGCACCTCTCCATCAACCTCGTCCACTCCGCCTCATCCATCTCTCCCCGAGCCACAATCTCCTCCGCCACAATCCGGTGAAAACGCTCGCGGCACACCTGCGCCACCTGCGCGCCACCGTGTCCGTCGTACACGGCGAAGAAATCGTACTTCTCATCATTAATCGCCGTCAATCCCAATTCCACTCTCACTTCATCTTCCATCTCCTTCCTCCGCCCTATGATCGACATCTCACTGTACACTCCACTATCAGACGGCGAAATGGATTCGTTCTCAAAGAGTAGTGCTGGATCACAATTCGATTCCGAAACTCCATTTTCGAGTAATTCGTCGCCCTCGCCTTCCTCTGCAGCGTGTACCTTCCTCTGCCATTTGTACCTCAGTTTACGAACTCTGAGCCGTCTCCGGCGAGCATTCTTGGTCTTAATCATGGTTGTGTGGTCGCACATTCCGGCGTCTGATGGTCGGAGGAAGTTGCGGGTGGTATTAGTGAGCTGCAGCTTGTCCAGTGAATGCATGAAAAAGTGAGAGAGAAAAAGAAAGGGGATGATTGAGAGGATTGAAGTGGCAGTTCAATGATAGTTCATAAGAAGAAGGAATGAGAGCCGCTGGATTGGGGAGTGTGTTCGGATGGAAGCCACCTGGGGTTTGCGGGGACCACAAGGCGTTGGATTTGATAACAGAGACGTGGGCGGCTGAGATTTACGGAGGCCACAGGTGGAGGTTGGAGTGATTCGGTTCGGAGGGGTGGGCCGGGGAGGGAAGGAATTACGTGGCGTCTGGTTATGGAAGAAGGGTCGTTTTCAATTGGCTGTGACGGAAACATTGACTAAAAGTGAGAGGCGGGAAAGGACACGCGTCGTGATGTGATGGGAGATTGATGTCGGAGTTGGACCTCGTATGGTGTGTCTGTGTTGAATTAATGGGTTAGCTGTCCAGGTTTCAAATTCTTGGGTTCTTAAACACCATTTGCAAAGAAATTTTTGGCTCACTAACTCCCATATTTAATTTGCTATTAACTCATAATCCCACTTTTAATAGCCCTTTTAAAACCTAATTTATACAATTAAATGGGCTCAGATTATGATCCATAAATATTTGGTTTATTTTGTTCCCTTCCACAGATGATGTGCATCTAAGATATTTTTATTTTTTTATTCTTATTTTGGAAACCTTCTGGCGGCACTGTATGCAGATCTTCGTTGGTCAAGTTTGTTTGAACGGTTCAGATTTTTTCTTTTTCTTTTTTCCTTCTCAGAAAAATAGTAATATTTTCTTGTGGCTACAGTTCAATTGAACGTTTGATATTTTTATTCTATTTCATTTTTAATTCTTTAGTGTAGTATCACAGCAACCAATTTTAATATTTTGAACTACACCAGAACTATATATTTTTTAATTTGATATCAGATTACTTAGTCTAAGCGTACTATATATAAAATCTATGGGGCAATTTCTTATTTTTCATTTTTCCTACTTTAATTTGTGGTCTTAAACACCTCCACAGGTTGCCATCATTCATAATATAGTTCAACTTCCCTTCTATACAATAAAACTGATTTGAACTTCCGACATCAAAAGAACTACTAAATATCTAAACTATTGAACGACTAACTCAACATTTATTGATATCATATCTTATATCCTCACTTGGTTCATAAAATTGATTTTATTACACTTCGAGTAATGTCCAAAAATAAATAAATAAAACATCTCTAACGTGTACCAAAAAGCATGCCACTCCTACACGTCTCAGAAAATTTTATGGGATGAATTTAATTTATATTTATATATTCATAGGAGAGTGGAAATATCTTGTTTCTTCCTAAAATATCCCATAGACCGCTGGACATCAGAAAAAGGATAAAGACAATGAATTGAAAGTAGAAAATCAAAGTAAATCAAGCCATGTCTACGAGGGGTTGTCTAAATTAAAATGAATATGGAACACCCTTTAATCACCAGTTTTGGATGAAGAAGACATACCCGATTTCGCCCGTCGGTTTTCGAGCACCCTTTAATCACCAGTTTTCGTTACTGCAGCATCAGTCATTGTCCAAATGATGGTGAAATCAGCTTCAGTTTTAAGTTTTAACATCATCACCAATACTCATTGCAGGAGCATCTTCCATCCTTAATATGATGAAACCTGTTTGCATCTCTAACGATGATCTCTCTGCCTGTGGCCAATGAAATGTATTTGATTGCAGCGTGACAGTCCCCACAAATTCGTAGATTCTTGAAAACTCTGATAGGCTTCGACTTAGATATGCTGATAAGACCAAAGGCTACTGCTATTCTTTCACTGTGCTGAAACAAATATTTCTCCTTTTGCTCTTCCTCCACATCATGAAGCACAAAATCCATGTTGGGGACATATCCCAATTTCTTTATTTTTGAAGACAAGTGTTCAAGTTCATCATATATTTCCTCAGCTTTTGAATGTGATGTATCACCCACATAAAACTTGTGTACTTTATTTTCGATCTCTACCCAGCTGCAGCCTGCTTCTTTGATCAAGTTTTTTTGTTTCATTACCTTTCTAATATTTGCAACTTCTTCCCATTGCGAGGTGGATGCATACAAATTTGATAGCAAGATATATGCAGCAGGATCGTGTGGCTCTTGTTCGATGATCATTTTTGCAGCATGTTTCCCCAATTCTAGGTTGTCGTGAACTCGACATGCTCCGAGAAATGTTCGCCACACAAGTGCATCAGCTTTGAAAGGCATTGAGTTGATAAACTGAATGGCTTCAGAGAGAGATCCTGAACGACCCAGTATGTCAACCATACAAGCATAATGTTCCATTCTCGGAGTGACTCCATGCTCTGCGTACATTGATTTGAAGTGTTTCCAACCCTCATTAACAAGACCCACGTGACTACAAGCAGATAAAACAGCAATGTAGGAGACCTCATTTGGTCTAATACCAGCCTCGAGCATCTTGTGGAACAGCTCCAAGGCTTTTGTTGCAAACCCATGTTTTGCAAAACCTGTGATAATTGAAGTCCAAGAGATGACATTTCTGTCGTCCATGTCTTCAAAAACTTGGAAAGCAGAATCAATGTCTCCACACTTGGAATACATAGAGATTAAGGCATTGCATATGGATTGATTTGACTTCAAACCTGACTTTATCACGCGAGCATGAATTTGCTCGCCCTTCCCTATTGTACCAATGCTGGCTGCTCCACTCAGAAGGCTAGCAAATGTGAAAGCACTAGCCCCCATCCCTTGATCCTCAATCTCATTGAAAAGTTCAAAAGCTTCTTCAGAATTTAAGGTCTTAGAATATGCATCAATTACCGTATTATAAGAAATCAAATTCTTCTCAAACAGAATATCAAACGCTTTCCTTGCATCATCAATTTTGCCAGATCGTGCATACATGCTAATAAGTGAGTTTGCAACACAATTAACTATTGAGAAACCGAGCTTTACTGCATGAGCAAAAACCTGTTCGCCAATCCGTAGATCGGCTAGATTTGCACAGGCCTTGAGAGTGCTGGAAAACGTAAAATGGTTCGGTAGAACATGAGTCAAGATCATCCCACGAAAAAGGTCAAGAGCTTCTTTATCATATCCCCCTTTTTGAACATATCCTGTGATCATTGCAGTCCAAGAGATGACATTGTGATCCAGAATCTGATAAAAAATCTTTCTGGATTCACTCATGGATCCATCCACAGAGCATTTAGCATACATATTTATTAGACAACAACCAACACAACGATCCAGAGTCAACCCATGTTTTATGGCTTGAGAGTGCAACTGCTGCCCTAACGATAACAATTCTAGCTTTGCACTAGCTGATATCACAGCACTTAATGTGAATCTATCGGGTTCGTATCCACTTAATATCATATCCAAAAATACATCAATGGCTTCCCCTGCGTACCCAAATTGCATAAATCTAGTAATCATCAGTGTCCAAGTAACTGCATTTCTTTCGGGCATTTTCTCAAACACCTCAAAGGCAGAAACCAAATCGCCGCGGCCCTTTACAAACATATCAATCAAGCCACACCCAACACATACATCTGAAGCAAAATATCCAGTTTTAATAACATATCCAAAAATAGAGTCACCCACCGATGCAAATTCAGCAGTGGAACACGCGCGAATTGCGGCGGAAAAGCAATACTCATTTGGGTAATAACCATTTTGGATCATATCAAGAAACGTATGAAGCGCCTCAAACCCCATCTTGTTATTGGCAAAGCAAGAGACCATCGCACTCCACGTGATCAAATCCCTACTATTTCCCATGTGCTCAAAAATGGATTTTGCTTTCTCCCACTGGCCGCTCTTGGAGTACAAGCTAATCAAAGAATTGAGAGTCACAGAGTCGAGCTGGAGGTCCGACTGAGTGAGCTTTTCATGAACGAGCCTACCAAGATCAAAACTACGAGTTCTAATACATCTTTTGAGGAAAAGTGAATAGGTTTGAAGATCAGGATGGGATCCGTGCTGCACCATGTGTTCGAGAGTTGAGATCGCTGTACGAAGGCGGCCATCGTTGATTTGGCGAATCAAACGATTCGTTGAAAATGTGGGGAATTGGAGAGAAGGGGAGGGATTTGAAGAAAGGGAGGGAATTTTGAGGGTAGTGGGAGGAGGCAGACTCTGCATCTTCACCTTCTAACTGTATTACCGGTTGCTCTTTTTCGCGCCTTCGTTGGGCTATTTAGATTGGATTTGCAACTGCCGTTTCAAAATGGATAAGATTTTCAATGGTCCAAAAATTAAATGGGTCTTTATTTATTTATTATTCATTTTAATTATATCTCTCAATTTTATATTTAATAGATATATAAATTTCTAAAATTTTAATTTTTAGTCTAAAATTCAAATATTAAAGCAAAAAAAAAAAAAAAAAAAAAAAA